TAATGGGGAGTGCAGTCCTGGGAGGAGCAGTGCTTTTTCATCTTCAGCTGTGCACCGACAAGGAGAAAGTGAGAAATGAATGAAGGAGACTCTTCCTGCTGAATGAATGAGAAACATGAATAGAAAGGCCTGCTTTAATGGGCCTGGGTTGTGTGCTTATTTGTAGATTTTTGTGAATAGTCCAGAGATTGATTTTGCCAAGTAAGTGCCATTATTAGTGAATGAAAAGGAAATTCTATTTAGGAAAACCAATGAATGTCAATGCTGCTCGTGTTTTCCCATCAGCTCTAATCTTTTGTAGCAGGTGCTGGATATTCATTTAAACAGATATATCTAAATCAAAGGCAGAAATCTATCTGCTACTTATGTATATACACTCAAGGGCCACTTTATTAGCTACTCATTGCTAGTACTGGGTTGCTACTGATTTAATTCTTCATGGCATAGATTCAACAAGCTGCTGGACTGTTCCTCTATGGAGATTTTGCGCCATATTTACATGATAGCATCACACAGTTGATGCAGATTTGTCAGCTGGACATCCATGATGTGACTCTCCCGTTCCATCAAGTCCCAAAGGTGCTCTAATGGATCTGTGTACAGTGAGATTGACATCTTCAACACATCAGTTGTAGAGGATTAGAGCTTGTGACATGGTGTGGTATCCTCTCAGAAGCACCCTTTAGAGCAGGTGTGTCAAACTCCAGACCTCCAGGCCTGATGTCCTGAAACTTTTAAATGTGTCCCCGCTGCAACACACATGAATAAAATTAGTAGGTCATTAGCAAGACACTATAGGACTTGACTGCACCCCAAGGTGGCAACCCCTAATCCTACTCAAGTAAATGTAAATAAATGTAAGCATTTGGAAAAATTGACTTTTATTGCACCATGTTCATGCCCTCATGAGCTGCAGCAACATAAATCAAATGGCTGAATTGCCAGTTGCCTGTTTCAGGACACCGACCCTTGAGGACTGGAGTTGGATGGGTCATAAAGAGTTGGACCTGGTCAGTAATGATACTTAGGTAGACTGTGGTGCACAAAGTGTGCAGAGAAAATATTCCCACACTAGCAGACCAGGATGGATGCATGCTTTCTGCTGTTTATGCCAACGACTCTGCCAGAAATCCTAGACTTATCAGACCAAACATTTCCATTCTTGCTGAGCCTCTGCCAGTTATATCCCGTTTCCTCTTCTTAGATCACAGCAGTAGCACTTAGTTTGGTCTTCTGCTGCATTAAGGTTCAATGTATTGTAACTATTGCCTTTCATCTCAAACCAGTCTGGCCATTCTCCCAGAACCTCCGGCATTTCAATCCAGAGGACCGTTGCTCACTAGAATTTTTTTCTTTGCCTGAGTAGTCTCTGTAAACCCTGAGGTGGCTGTGTGGGGAAAATATCAGTAGATCAGCAGATCCCGAAACACGTCCAACACGTCTGGCACCAACAGCCATGCCACATTCAGAGTCACTTTATGTCAAGTTGAACTTCAGCAGGTCATCTTGACCAGGTATACATGTCTATGTGTACTCGAGTTGCTGTGATGCGATTGGCCGATTAAATAGTTGTGCTTGAAGACATTAAGGTCATGTTGCAATCAAACAATGCAGGGAGTAATGTTATGATCCATTATTTTTCTAATTTAATCCAGTCGGGCAGTCTACAAAGGTCAATATGTGACACAGTTTGAGTGAAATTTATCCCACTGCTTTGATCTGGGTGCGAGTACTTTGAGGGGGACTAATAAATTAGAAGGAGTAAAAGTGACTAAGCTCAGATAATTATAAAAATAGATTTCCAGGTCACTGAGGGGCGAGCAGAAAAAGTGAGACACGATCTTCACAGGTCCAGAGGAAATGTGCGCCTCTTGTTTATGACACTGCGGTGCTGGAGGTCTGGCTCGGCGTGAGAGCGAGAAACCATTGAGTATTTAACAAAATGCACTCAGAAAGCACTTCACTGATGCATCATGGGTAGCTGCTCTCAAATCACAGCAGGTTTGTGTCTGAGAACAAGCTCTTTTTCGATTTAATGAAGTAGGAAGAGGCGAAGTACATTTGGGCCACATCCTACAAAAACATAATGAGATTAAGCTCTGCTCCGCTTCGCCCGTCATCCTCCTCTCGATTAGATTCACCCATTTTAAATAAGCACAACACAGAGACCGTGTCAGAGTCACACACACCCACTTTTCTCTTTTTAATTCAGTGATAAATAATTTCCTATGATCATAGGCTTTACGTGTAGACATCCGATCAAGGCAAGAGACAAATTAGAGGGCACACATGTTGCCACCATTAGAAAATAATAGCTGAAACAAAAAAAAACCCAACAAAAAAAAACCAAACAAACCAAAAAACAATGAGGTAAGAAGTTCTCCTTTTTATACATTTGTGGTGCTTCTATGTCTGTTACCTATACTGTTGAATGCACAGTGCTTTCTAATACAGAAATCCTGCCTCTTGTGTCTGTACATTATTTAAAAAAAGAAAAAAAGAAAAAAGAAGAAGTAGGTCATGGCACAATACTGAACCAACCAAGACAGGGCACTGCAAAGTGTACAGAATAGCCGTATACATCATCAGACTGAGAGTAAGAAAAGTTGAGCAGGAAACAGAAAATACAAAACAAAAAGTCTAAGACTTGGCGAGTGAGCGACTGCGATCGGTTCAACACACACACACACTTTCCAGGACAAGTCCTAGGGTCAGCAGCTTGCATGCTCCCTACGTTTACAGTATGGTATGAATGTGTGAAAGAGCTGCAATGACTGAAGGAGAATGAATCAGCAGCTATTTCGATAATAAATCAGAAATGCTAATCTTCTGCTGGTTCCAGCTTCAGCAGTGACACCTCTTTTCCCACCAGCACAGCACTGATGCTGGGCCAGCTCTGCCGTGGTGTATTTTTGAAGAACTGGCTCACATTTTGACAGGTTTGATGGGGTAATTTCCGTGGGAAGAAGATAAAAATCACATTGGACAAATCGGTGGGCTGCATTTGCCAATCACTGCTGAATTTCTTGCAGTAGCTCCAAACGCGCCCAGTGAGAACAGTAGTTCCAACGATCCTGTGCCGACACCCCAGTGCTGGTGGAAAACGAATCATTTCTGCCTCTTGTGACTTTTTATTTTATTTGTTTAGTTAAGGAAAGGCTCTGTGAAGGCCAATGGAAGATAGGATGGATACATTGTATCTGTTTGAATTTGGTGCCGTGTTTAATCCAGAAGTGTGTGAGCTACGAGGTTGTGTCGATGGACAGAAGTCAGACTTATCAGTTCAATCTCAACATTCACTGATTTTTTATTTTTATTTTTTAACTTTCGAGAGACTCGCGCGTCCCAAGGATGTTATCCATAACAAATCAACCTTGATAAGTCCACTTCTAAATCCTAACTAAGAGCCTTCTAGTAAATTCAAAACTTGCCTGAGGATCATTGTAACTTTACACTGGTGCTACCACTGCCCAGCTGGGCTGAAGACACCATTGTGTTGGTTTTTACTTCCTTTAAAGATATATCAGTATAAAAGTTCAGAAATTCACAGATTATTACCTTTACTCTTATACCAGTGCTGATGAGGAGGATGTGTCTGAGTGGCAACTACTGTAGTCGCACCCTCACTGTTAGTATAAATGGTACAGAGCACTGCAATATTGTCCCATTTACATGGTTCAAACCTCCTAATTGATTATATTTGTTAAAGGAGCACTCTTTTTGTTGTATTTTATGCAGTTTCTATTTGTAGGAAGAGACCAGAAACAACCTCAGACATCACCCTGATGAAGGCAAGACAGCTAAGAACTTGTGGTGAGCAAAGAGTGGTGCAAATTAATCTGGACACTGATAAAGTAATTACTACAATAAAACCATGTTAGCTTGCACACAGTGCAGACTGTGTGCAGGGCTTTCCCCCTCACAGAGGACTTTTTGGGCTCCTTTAAAAGACCTTATGCCAGAATCACCAAATTGTTTTTTTTTAATTAAAGGTTTAATTTTAATGTGAAGTGTTCAAACCTACAGGAAAATAACTCACTGAAGGTTCACTGCAGGCCAGGAAAAACCCTGCAAGGGTAAATATATTTTTGTATTTGTGTGCGTTTATGTATGTGTGTGTTGCATTCACAGACATCACGAGCAGCAAACCGAGGCACAGCCCCCTATGCATGGACCTGACCTGCAGTCCGTTCACTTATGCAGAAAGAAAGAAAGAACGAACAAACTGCTCCTGGCTCACTTACTTCCTGTCCAACATTAAAGGAGAATACCACTGATTTTTTAGCATTCGCATGTTATTTTCACACCACTTGTAACTTCCAGCTTCCACTCAGGGAAGCTCCCAACCTGCAGAAAAATGCAAAACTGCAGTGATCCCTACAAAATACTTTGAAAAGGCCACTAGGCATGTGGCTGTGCTTAACGCAATTAAGTGTATTACTATAAATACGAGGTGCGTTTATGATGATTCTCTAAATTCACAGTCTTCTAGTTACTGGCTGTGGGAGTGTATCAGCATGATGGCGTTAGCTGATGGCTTAGCAGAGCTGTCTACACTCACTAATACTTTGCTGCTATTAATAACACTATGCAAGGTCTTACAGTAAGTGGCATTCTCCTTAATGGTGCTTGACCTTGTATTCTGCTGCCCAGGGAGGTCAGCCTCCCCTTTGGGGCTACCTGAGCAGTAGCCGGCTGGAGACAAAAGAGGAAGCACACCTGCATCTTCCTCTCATCCACAGCAGCCCGTGTGTGGCCCCCTGACAGCTGTGACCTCAGCTGCTCACCTCTCCCACACACCTGGGGCTGTGCAAATGTGACAGGAGAGAATAAACCCCACTCTAGAGCCAAGCTTTTGCAATCTCCCACCTCCCCCGAAGGGTTTCCTTCAAGGGTTCAGCTCAGTGAACCTCAGTAACACTCAAACAACTTCAGTGGACAAAGGTGGTGGGGGAGGAAGAAGAAGAAGTAGAAAAAAAGAACACAAATTGTACAACAACAGAAAAAACACAAAACTAAAAATAGCTAAGAGAAGCCAAAAACAGCAACAGGAGCGGTCGTGACGGCGCAGATGATGCTGAGAGCGGCGAGGTGGGGCGGGTGGCTGGAAATCATGTCGAGGAGTGACTTTAGTGGTCCTCAAGAAATGTGCGCCAGCGTTGTGGTCGCGGTTGCCATGACAGCAGCACATTGAGCACCCTTTCCAACAGAACAACAACAGAGAGACACCATTTTTCTTTTTTTTTTCTTCTTTTAAATCAACAGTGGCAGGGTGCTGCAGCAGCCTCGGCTGCCCTCGCACTCCCCCAACCTTTTGCGTCCATGTCCCCTTTAAGTGTTTTGTTCATTTATTCGTCTTTTTAGTCGCTGGGTACTCCACGGTGCTGCGGTCCCTCGCCACATAAGCAGAAACTTCCCCCGTTTCAGGCTTCTGGCCAGAGTTAGTCGTTTTTGATTTTCAGTCATTTTTGCATGTGTGTTTGTTTGTTTTTTTAAATCCCATGACATTTTCAGAGCCTCTCGTGTCAGTCCAGAGGCGACAGCGTTGGAATCCTCAGCCCGGGAGGCAAACTTTGCCTGCAAACAGCAGTCCCACTATGGTGAAGAAGATGGAGAGGACGAACAGCACGTATGAGGAGCCGACCACCGTGTTGTTGGGAAGCTTGTACGGCTGGCCTCCCACCTCGTTGATATAGAAGCCTATTGGGAAGATGAGCGCCGCCATGCAGAACAGGATCACTGGAAGCAAGGGAGGGAGAGAGGAAAAATATTAGTTCCTTAAAAGATGACTCGAATTAATCTGTAGCTTTTCCTCAATGCACTGAAATCTTGTGTGTAAAATAAGCTCTGGGGACAGACTGAACTGATAAATGACACTAAAGGAGTGTCAGCTCTTATTCTAGTCTTTGTTCTCCACAGTGGATTCAGAAAATTAAGCCTAACCTCATCAGCTTGAGCAGAAAGCATAGCCTCAAACTGACTTCAATTTTCGGGAGTTCATTAGTGAGATACAACACCGCCTTTCAAATGGTGTAATTGTCCCTTCAGAAGCAAACAGACCCATGGCATGCAGATAATTCTGCCTTGCATTTTCACAAAGCTGAGAGGCAGAGGCACTCAATTATGTAATGTTAATGTGCGTCATAGATTATACATTAGTCTGACAAGCGTACACTAGCCTGAGTCCAAGCTCGCCCAAACCAAATTTAGTCTCCTGTAGAAATGAGACATTTCTATTTTTAGTTAAATCTTCCTCCGAAGAGGAAACAAAAAGGGCAGCTGCGCAGACATCGCTGAAAATACCCCGAAAACTTCAACATTCAGTTGATGAACAGCAGCTGACTGCAGAAAATCAGAGAAATGAAACACTCAGAGAGAGAGACGTGTTCATGAAAGCAGCAGCTGGAACTTTCTAAAGACAGAAGATTGAAGCAGGCACTGAAAACACTTAAAAGCACATCATATATGACTACAAGGTAAACGCAGCACTACAATCATTAGAGTGAAACTTGACCAAGAAAGTGAAAAAGCCATAACTTATAACTTTTTGGTCACATTTTAATACACTGCTCAAAAAAAATTTAAGGAGACACCTGATCCTCAGCAAACCTCAGAGATGTCCGTCTGTCCAGTGAGGAAGCAGAAACCCTGATTCAGTGCTTACTTATATAAAAAGTATAAGTTCAGGTGACAAAAGGATTTTTTTCCTTCATCTTCAATAAACCTGTGAGGTCATGAGATTACTGAAGAGCGTTTGGGGGACTGACAGTACGGAAAGGCTGGAAACCACTAATGTGCTGTGCATTTATACAGAGTAGCCGCACGCACGCACACAGTAGAGGTTTGTTGTTCACAGATGTGCAGCTCAGCATCAAAATCTTGATAAAATACTGATTAACTTTGTTTGGACTTTGAGTGATGTTCTTAATAAATGTGCAACATTTTCTAAGGAACCATGTCAACGTCCTCGTCCAAACCTTTGTTTAAAAAAAATCCCAGAAATCGTCCTCTTTGCCAGTTATGCTTGCATTCTGCCATCGTTTATATTTAAATAATATTTCTTACAGCACCTGAAGGCAGCATTTTTCCACAGTTAAATGTTTTAGCAAATCTCTAAAAGAAAGCCAGCCAGCAGTAATGGGCTTGATTTAAGCTTTCAAGTTTGTAAAGTTTGTGTGTGAATTATTTGTTGGTAAATCATTAACTTCTTCCCTCGAGCTCAAAATGAATTGACACCATTTCCCAGACTAGCAGAATGTAGCATTGGTTTCAGTAAATGCTCCTCCAAGAACCATAAACAAGCTCTTTATGCCACCTCAGGCTGATTAACACAGTACATTTCTCTACAAGCTTAAAAGGTGCAGATCAGTAATCACATTTTAAGCTTTCTAAACAAGCACATTGCAGCTCCGTTTATACGCTGCAAGTTCAAGTCAAATCCAGAAAAGGGATTTACCAAATTTACAAATGTTAGAAGCTGCGGTGGAAATGACACGTTTGCAGATGTTGTAGTTTTCTGAGACTGCTACTAGATGTTACATGAGAGGTGTGATTTACTAATTGAACCTTTAGTTAGGCACAAAAAACGTGTTCATCAAAGTAGAAAAGATAGTCTTAAGATTTTAAGTTAGAAAAGCAAAAGCAATGCTGAAGGAAACGCCATCGAAGACTAACCAGAACAGAACAAATACACAAAGTTCTCTGCGAAAGAGAAGTTTTCCAAGGCTGAGGTATAGGACAGTAAACTCCACTCCATGTGTTCTTTCTTATCAAAGCCCATCAACTACTTTACCCACAATGCAACTCAACCATAATATAGACCCAAAATAAACCCTCCAAAATGTGCGACAGCAAATACATTAATTGGATTTCATACAAATATTGACACTTTCGTCACTGAATAAAAACCGAGATTAAATTTGTTCTGGGGAGACTAGATCCAATCAGAAGTGTGGAAAGGCAGGACAAGTTTGGAGGTGATCCAATTAGTTCAGCTGACTCTTTTCCTCCCAGTTGAATGAAAATGCGACAAAATGTCAACATTTAGGAGGAAGAGATGAGTAGATGCATTTCACATTTGATGGCAAGGAAAATAAGATGCTTTCTAAACTGTGTGGAGCAACTTTCCCTGGTAAAACACAACAAAGTTTACACTTAGTTGACAAAAACTAAAAGCATTCAGGAGCTTGTAAAACCACATTTAGCAGCAATAGCTTGAAAAAGAAAAAGAAAAACTTTTCTAAATGACTTTATTGGTATCTCACATCATTGTGGAGAAATTCTGGCCCACTCCTTTTACAACGATGCTTCGGTTCATTGAACTCTACAGGCATTTGTTGATGCACGGCTCTCTTCAGGTCCCTCTGCAGCATAAGAATCAGGTTAAAGTCTGGACTTTGACTGAGTCACTGCAACACCTTGTTTCTTTTCTTTTTCAGCCATTCGGTTTTATATTTGCTTTGATATTTGGGATCATTGTGCTGCTGTATGACCTGTGTTGCCCTCTTCTCTTTAGAGAAAAAGGATTTCTTCTGGTAACCCAATTGTGCTGCCATGAATTTTGACATCTAATTGGCCTGTAGAGCAAGATATAGCTCTTGGGGTTTTTTTCTTTCCCCCTTTTTGTTTGGCAGTTTCTCTGAGCAGCTATGAAATGGATGATGATGGCGTAGAGCTGTAGCACTAAGGTTAAAAAATAATAATTACAGAGCCACTTGAAGCACAGTATGACCTTGGGGTGACACTTGCTGGGACAGGGATTTCTGGGAAGATTGTTGACTGTCTTGAATATTTTTCACTTGTGAATCATCTCTCGATGCACAACGATAAACTTCAAATTGTTTCAAAACGGCCTCATAACTCCTCCCAGCATCAGCAGCAATGACGGCTTTCTGTTGGCAATGGCACCTCAATGCTACAGATCTGCAAACAGCCAAAGCTCTCATTTGCTAATGATCAGTTAATCAACTGCATTTATTTCTTGTTAAATGGCGAGAGTGTAATATTACATATACTGTATTTCATCTAAGACCTGCTAAGGACCAGATAATTTTCCTTTTTATATTATTAAACGGCTACATATCGGAGAACTCTGAATTTAATGTCTCAGTGTGTCTTCCAAGTACATGATGTAGAGGTCAGGCCCCTACAGGAGCTCAGCTACCATGGGACATGTTTTTTTTTTCTGTGTTAACCTGGTTTCCTTCTGCAAATCCAATTCCGCTGATTGGTGAGCTCTGACAATCACCATCAAGCCCTGCGGGATCAATTAGCTCGGCGCGTTGACCGCATGCTGGGAATCGCTGCTTTTGCAACAGGCACCATTCTCAATAAACAGTGTGATGTTCTGCTCAACACACAGTGGTCAAGTCAGCGGCTGCAGAGCAAGCACAGCAGAGATCAGGGATGAAGCCATCGTGTGGTTTTATCAAACTATCCAGGAAGTAGGTGAAAAATGGAATAACAAAGCTGTTGCCAATAGCAAAGGTTCCCTTTTCTCTTCCTTCCTTTGAAAGTGTTGTAACTGAAGCTCGAGGTCCAGTTGAGACAACTTATGTAACTCACAGTGACGTTAAGCAGCAAAGCAAACTGTGGTTTTTGAATCCAAATCAATGGCTGTGCAGAATTTGTGGAATAGCTTCAAGTAATTAAAAATAACTGATCTATCAAAGAGCTTTTCACCATTTTTGTGCATTTTTTTTTTCTTTAGATCAACACTTCTTTCTGCACTGCATGAAGCAGCAACACCGCAAACGGAAACTGCATTAGATATCCTTTCCTACATCAGTTCAGAGTGACTTCCTTGTTGTTTAGAAAAAGTTGTGTGTCCGTACTCTAGAAGCCCTGTTGACTTATTGAGGTTATGTCATAGTGACGTGTTGTGAAAGCATAAAGAGCCATTTTCAGATTAGACAGACATTATAGGAGAGAAATGCAATGCTCAAAGCACCCTGAATAGAAATCAATGCCAGACGGCGAAGATGGCAGTTTACCCCGAAGAGCCAATAAGAAATCCGAACTGTGAAATATATGAGCCGGTCCTGCTCTTGCACTGATGTGTGAATACAAGTTCAAAACAGCATTAATTGTGTGGTGACAGGCGTATCAACCCATTACTGTCACAAAGATGCAGATAAGCGGTGGCAGTTTGGCTCACCTGAAAAAGCGGGTGACCATGTGTCACGGAGGTTCGATGCAGCGGTTTGGGTTCGATTCTGACCCAGGGATCTGATGTGTGTCTTCCCCAAAGCTCTAGCCACACTTTCCTATTTAAAAAAAGCTTCACTGTCCAAATAAATAAATAAAAGGGAAAAATGCCCCAAAACATCATGTTGTAAATACAAATTATAATACGTACAGTTTCATCCTTGTGAGCTTTAAAAATTAATGTTTAGAAGGGTTTAAAATAACTGCCTGGAGGCAACACCAAGATAGCTGCCCAGCAACGCTTGCGTTTAAAGATGACTGGGTTACAAGCAGCGTTGTCACAGAACGAGAATTTCATACTTTATACCAATACCCAGAAAAATATTCAATGTCATTTTCTATATCACGGGGTACAGAAGTATAGAAGATTTAGTTTTAAAGTAACTAATTAAAATGATTTACATAATTTCATTTCAGATGGTGGAGGTAAAGTATATTTTAGAACTTACTAATAAACAAATACGTACCTAACGCATCTAAATCATTAAATTATTGCACAAAACGTATTACGGTAAAGTTGTTCTCCACACTCT